TGAAAATCACAATGAATAAGACCTTTTTGATGTATTTCATCAAGTCCACTAATAATATTATTTAATTGTAATAATTTAATAATCCATTTATCTTCAATTATATTTAATAAATTTTTTCTTAAATTACTATTTTTTGCATATTTCATTACTATCATATAATTTAATGTGTTAGGATCTTGAGTAAATCCATATAATTGAATAAGATTTTCATTTGAATATTTTTTTAATTGACTAAAACAATTATAATGATATTTCCACTAAAATAATAAAACTTTGTTTAAAATTTATAAATTAAAATTAAAATAATCATTAATTTCATACCTCATTTAAAAATTCTTTATTTAAATTAGATGATTTATCAAGACATTTAAGAGATACTTCAATTTCATTACTTCTAATCCAATTTTTATTATCATATGAATAAGATTTAATAAATCCATCTAACCAATTAGCTTTATATATAGAGCTAAATCCTCCTTTATCAAGAAATTCAATATTTACTAATTTATTATAAGGAATCCATTCTAATATTTGCTTTGTATTTTTAACATTTAGTTGAATATCTTGAATAAATTTATTGATAAATTTATTTTTGCTAGTCCAATTAGAAAAACTTTGTTGAAATAATTTAGTATTACATTTATTGCACCAATGATATCCAGTATTTGTTGTATTACAGTTTGAGCATTTTCCTTTTTTTTAAATAAATTATTTTATAATATTAGTATTATTATTACAATCTTATTATAACTTTAAAATAAAACTTACTAAATTTAATTATATTTAATAAATTTTACAAATTTATTACATATATTTAAATATTTAAATTATTTTATATATTAAAGTAAAATTACTAATATTAATAAAAATAACTTACCACCTAATATTTTGTTAATTTTAAATAAAAAATTTAATTGAATTTATATTAAGATACAAAATATAATTAAATACTAATAATCAATCAATAAGAATAACTTACAGTCTAAAAATTTAAATTATTTTTTTAAATAAAAGATTTAGTTGAGTTTAAATTACAGTAAAAAGTATAATTAAATACTAATAATAAATAAAAATAACTTACAATCTAAAATTTTGGATTATTTTTTTAAATAAAAAATTTAGTTGAATTTAAATTTTAGTAAAAAGTATAATTAAATACTGATAATTAATAAAAATAACTTACAATCTAAAATTTTAAATTATTTTTTTAAATAAAAAATTTAGTTAAGTTTAAATTACAGTAAAAAGTACAATTAAATACTGTACTGATAATCAATAAAAATAACTTACATTCAATAATTTTAAATTTTTTTTTAAATATTAAAATTATATTATATATTAAATTATAATTAAATACTAATAATCAATAAAAATAACTTACTATCTATTATATTATTAATTATTAATTATTTTTTTAAATAAAAAATTTAGTGAAGTTTAAATTACTATAAAAAGTATAATTAAATATTAATAATCAATAAAAATAACTTACTTTCTTTAGTAATATTTTTGATTTTAAATAAAAAATTTCGTTAAATTTAAATTATTTTACAATAATTAATTAATTAAAATAACCAATGTTATTAATATTTCAATATTTTTTTTAAAAAATTTATAATAACTTACGTTCTATAATTTTAAATAAAGATTAATAACGTAAATTATTATAAAATGTACTTAATAAAAATAACTTACTAACTAAAATATTCATTTAAAATTTTTTTTAAATAAATTAATTAATTATATTAAAATTGCAATATATAATTAGAAGAACTTACTCTTTAAGGACGTTATTGATCATTAAATATCGTTTAACAAGTTTAATTAAATTTTGATTTATAAGTTAAAATATATAAATAATTAAATAGCTTACAAGCTATAATATTTATAAAAATAAAAAATCAATTAATAAAAATTGTAGTTTATTTTAGCAAATTGATAAATATATAAATTTCTTTACCATATAAATCTTTGCCAATACTTTGATATAATATTAATTAGAAAATATTTTTAATTTTAATACTTAACGTTAATAAACAAACTTTATACTCAACTCTCTATATCATAAATAAATATTAATTCATTTTGTATTTTAAAATGAATGATGCAAACAATATCATTACCTCCTACAAATATAGATTATTTAAATGAATATATATTTAAATAATTAATATAAATAAGCTATTATATTTATACATCTTATACATAATAGTAACTTCCTCACAGGCATTTATCGTTCATGTATCATTTGCTTTGATTTCTAGTAATTTGTTTAAATCTGCAAGTGATTCTTCATATTTTTCTATTATATAAAAAGTTTCTTCTTGATATCTTAATGCAAATGTATTATTTGCCTCAAACTTCAGCAACCTTTTCAAATCTGAAAGTGCTAGTTCATATTCACCTATAACAAAATAAAACTTTCCTCGGTATTTTAGTATATGTTCAGCATCTGATCATTATATGGATCAAGAATATCAGCCCAGTTCCCCTTTAAAGATTCATCAATATCATCATCATTCATCATTAAAAAATAATATTATTAATCAAGTAAATAAAAAAAGAAACTAAATAAATATACCTGTATATTTAAACTTTCTATAACTAAAGTTTGCTCCTACAGTTCCACGTGGCGACAAAATTCCAACACAAGGATACAAAGTATTTTTCAAATCTCGGAATGCAATTCCTTAAAATAAATAATAGATATTAAGTCTCCATTATTTAACCTAAAATAACTAAGAATTTGTAATATACCTAGATTCACTCCATTTCTTGTATAAAATACCGTATTATTTCTAATATTTAAACTATATCCAATAGTATCGCCGGTCATAAATTTTGGTCTATATGATTTGCCATCATTGTTTAAATACGTGTTTCCATCATCACCACGATAACTTCACGAGCTATCTTCAGCCTACAATATAATGATATAAAATATTTATTTAACGAATTAGCAGTTTATAGAGACAAAGGTGAAATTACCTGGCAATTTATTTAGGCTAGCTGATTTTGTGCAAAACCCGATTCCAATCTTCCTATGGAATTTGAAAAATTGAATTATCAGCAAATTTTAAACAATATACTTATATATGATTCCAAGGTTTATAACATACCCATTTTCCCCTTTATCTATAATGTCAACTTCAAAATAAAATAATTCACATTGTGCAGGAATTGGAAAATTTGTTCGAATTACGAAGTTTTCATTTCCATCCAAACCTTTCCTTTTTCCTTTATATTTGAAAAAATTATAGTTACTGCCAAAATAAGTGATTCCATACTAAAACAGTGAAATATAATGATAATACATGAAATGTAATAAGCGCACCTGTATAAGTCACTATAAGCTCGTCTGAATTAAATTTTAAAAGACGTCCATCATCAATATCCCATGCGGTTAGTGATTCCATATTGTTATGTAATCCTATTGGCAAGAAAGAGTTTAATTATTGAAAGTTGATGATAGCTTGATTTGTATGCCTTTTACCTTTTTATGTGAAAGACTTAAATATGTTGCGAGTTTAATTTTTATTTTATTTTTATTAAAGAAAATTTGTGTTGCAAAAGGTTTTTTAATCCCTTGTATTACCTAAACAAGAAGCAACAATATTTTATTTTAGCTTTGCAATTTTTAAAAAAAATTTTTTAGCCATAATTATTTAATGCGGAAAAAATACTCATCTTTTTGAAAACACAAATAAATTATATAATTAATCATTAACTTCTTTTTATATTTTAGTAAACTTTTTGATTAATTAAATAAATTGATTTTCTTCACAATCTTAAAAAGTTTGTCATTTACGCCTTTTCATGTGAAGCCCCTTTTAGCAAAAAAAGTTTCTAAAATATAAACGCGCAATTTTTTTCTCGTTTCCTGCATTTTTTTAAAAAAAAAATAAAAAAAAATATCATGAATGTTTTTCACAGGACCTTTCAATAATGTTCGATGATTCTGATGAGTATAATTTTATTATTCAAGCCAGAGAAAATGCTAATATAAAAGAGTTCTGAGCATATATGAATGTCTTGAGGGCTTGGCTAAATGAGTAACTAAAAAGAACAATATGTTTGAATTTAAGAAACCAAATGTAATCCTATCGTCTTTGATATGATTTTCAAGTATTACGTTTTCTATCACTTTTAATATAACTAATCTTTCCTTTTCATCTTCTTATATTAAGAAATATTTATACAGGAGAAGTTGATTTGACTACAAAGTCAGATGCTGACATTCTTAGACTGTTGGTTGCGTCTGATAAACTGGAATTATTTAAATATGTTCAAGATCATTTGATTGAAAAACAGACAGTTTGAGTCCAGAAAATTTAGTTCTTGTTCTACATACAATCTTTAAGCTTGATAGCTGTAAGAAACTACAAGACTATTGTCTTAATTCTATTTGCGCAGACCCACAACCATTTATTACCTCAAAAGTCTTTCTATTACTTGATAAGGATATTTTTATGGATTGCTTAAGCGAGATGATTTGCAAATCGAAGAAGCTGTTGCTTGGGATTATTTAATTAAATGGGGAATTGAGCAAACTCTTAATTTATGAAGCAAGAATAGCGATAGGGCTAAATGGAAAGGCAAAGAATACGAAGCACTTTTAGTCGACTTATTCAATTTTCAGACATTATGTTCTGATGATTTTTTTGATAAGGTTCGGCCTTATAAACCTATCATTTCTCATCATATTTATGAGAAAGCTATGGAATTTTATTTGAAGGATACTTTACCGAAAACAAATTCTTTGCCACCACGATTCAGATAGAATCAAAATTATTAAGCCGAAAGTTTGCTTATGTGATTGCCAATAAGATTGATAAAAAAGACGGGAAATAAATCAAATTTAAAATACAAGTTCGATCTTGTATATCTAGGTAGTCGCAATTGTTATTCTTGGCAAACACAATACTTAGTAAAGGATCAATCTTCAAAAATACAGTATATGGCGGATATAGTTATATTTTTTTAGTAGGAGCTATAATTAATTACGGCGATCTACAACTTTATTTTCTCTTGCGAAGAAAATGAAGGAAATTTCAAAAAAGATAAGATTTGGTCGTATAACAAATAGTAGTCGTGTGATATATGATATGATTATTATAATAACCATGGATTTAATTTTGGTAATTCTTTGCGTAATTACTAAAAAATACTGAGCCTATATTGAGTTGTTGATTTATCTCAATACTACGCTTATTCCTAATGCACACACGAATAAAAAAGTTATTTTTAACAACATTGGTATTGGCTGAGTTAAATCTGGAATCGTATCTTAAAACATTTGCTTAGAAATAATTGATATGAAATTTTAGAATACAAGCACAAATTAAAATATGGTTAATACTACACAAATAAATAATTAAATTTTGTTCTATAATACAATAAATTTGATTTGAATTTAATTTACAGATAGATTTTGTTTGATTTTAAATATAAATAATTTACAAAATATCAAAAAGAACCTGATGTAATAAAAGTATAAATACGCACAATAAATTTGTATAGACATTTAACGCTTTTAAACAAGTAAATAATCAATAGAAAAAAAAAGATATGATTGTTCTTGTGGTGAGATCCATTTTCTACACCTTATTTTTTAGTTACAAGTTTTTTTTCACAATATAATAATATATTGATTAATAATTTAAGATATTTTTATTTTTAAAGTTTTTTTTAATAAAAAACTTTAGAAAGTATACACTTTAATTAAAATTTTAATAATAAATTCAGTAATAGAAGTAAATAAACTATTGCAGAAAATAACTTATAATAGATTAAATGCATTTAAAAAACATTTATGTATTAAATCATTTCAATATCTTTATTAAAAATATTATATTATTATAAATTGAGATTTTATCATGGTTATATAAAAATTTGATCTTGAGATATATGATGTCAAATTTTTTGTTCAGAATGGAATCTGAATATTTTAAATTTTATATTATCGAGATTTATAAATTTTTTTCTGACTTGAAAAACTGGTAGTATAGATATTTTTAATGTAATGTGCAAGTGAATTTCTTTTTTTCCTCAAAAAATTTTATTATTTCTCTAGTATAAAAATAAAGCAAAATGCAATTTGATAATACTTCAAATGAATTAATTAATTGGATTGAAGAATATATTTTAAGAAAAAAACATTAAGAATACAAACATTTCATATTTATCGATAGAATCAATCAGCAAAATTTAGCATTAAAATCATTTAAATACTTTAACGACCGTTAAAGAACTTATTCGTGAGATAATTAAGATACAATTCATTATTCATAATAATTTGGCTTGAACTTCAACGGGAATTTGATTTTACTGTAATAGCAATATCATCCACTATTTGGGGGAATCATATCATCAAAACAAGGTTTAAATTCTTAAATAATTATGTTATTTATAGTTTTATATTGTTTTTTTATTTTATATGTAACCAAATTTATATACTTTTATATATATAAAAAAAGATTTTAGTTGTTTAAACTTACTTTTTAGTAATTAATATCATTCTAGCAGTATATTAATTTATCAATTATTGAAGCAGCAACCAATCAATAATTTATTTGTGTAATTCCTTATATGGTCCTAAAAGTTTTATTAGAGAAGGAAATCATCGCAAAAAAATATAAATTAAATGAAATCAGTGACGTTTTCAGTGTTGGCATGCTTTTCTGAGAGTTATCTCCTCCTTTTCATAATAAGGATGAAGCTTTTGAAATTGGATTGTCTATATAAATCTTATAAGGACTTAGAGAAAGTATTATTCTTGGTACACCTGAAGTTCATGACATTTATTCTGATAAATAATATCTTAAATGTAATTAAGAACACAAATTTAAAAATTTTTTATATAGTGTTGGGATAATGAGCCAGACAATTGTCCAGCTCTTAACAAGGATGGTTGATGAATTTGATGAATTATTAATTATAATCAGATGAATCAAATATTCGATTGAATAACATTAATGCTTCATCCAGCATTAATAGTTCATTCCATTGGGAATTGTCTCGAATGATTCAAAATTTAATCAAATGAATGCAGAGGAATTAGAATTGAATAATAAAGCATCAAACATTATTTACAATGAAATTATTGATAGTGTCTAAATAAGAATAACATTTTAAATGCTCTTAGGATGATTGCAAAGATATCAAAAAATAACAAACTCGATATTTATAATACTTCAATAACTATTCTACCTATTTTACTCAACTCCTTAATAAAACATTTGTGTCATGCATAGGACTAAAATAACTTTCTACACAACCTTCTTTTAAGCTTAATTTTGTTTTGTGATATGTTAAGCTACTGAATATACATATGATTACCCTTTTTAAAAATTATATTTCATACATGAGTTTTCAATAAATATTATTTAACATATGTCTAATATGGTAAGTCGAATTAATTGTATGAAATATTAATAAGTGAAGCATTGAGAGGCTTAATTAGCATTTGGATCCATTTGTCTTTATTTCTTTTTTATTGATTTTTCTCAACTATTACAAAATAGACAATCCCTTAAATAATAAAAGTTAAATTCAACTGATTATTATTTATTATTAAATTTAAACTATAACTCGAACTTAAATGTTTAATGTTTCCAATATTACTTTAGATACCCCTTTTGACTTCTATCTGATTACAACATATAAAAAAGAATCCAATCACACAACAATTCAACTTTTCATAGGACAGATAACTTATTTACGTCACATTATTTTTAGTCCTTGCAATATTTATTATTTTTATAATAACTTTAATATTATCCCTTTAATGGTAAAAAATTGCAGACAAATTTGCCTGCAATTTTAAACAATTTTAATTAATTTTTAATATAAATTTTTATTATTAAACCTATTGATTTTTTTTGATTTTTACTTAAAATTCATTATAAATTTTATTATAAAAATGTTAGTTTTAATAAATATTTTATTTTAGAAAAGTTTTTATTAGAACAGAATTTTTGTATTTTTAATAATTTATAATAATTTATAACTTTTAAATTAAATTTTATATTAAATTTTATACATTTATCTTAGAACTACAAAATTTTCATATAATATTT